CCACATTTACGACTTGACACGACCTGTGTGCTCCTTCACGTGTGTGCCTGGCCAGTAAGTGTGGCGACGTGTCAGTCATTATGGATGCCAGTCTAAAGGCGCAATTCTGGAATGAAGGCTACCTTGTCGGAAACTTAAGACTACCGCCTCACACTTTGGAGAAAGCTAAACAGGAAATCGAGCAACTGGACTTCAGACCTATTTTTGGTGAGGTGTATGAAGTAGAACGTGACCATTTCCGTCTTCAAGCTCCTATTGCTACATTTGGTCCGGCTACAAACAAAATATACAAGCGAGTGAAGGGTATTGTGGAAGGATCTGATAAAAATTGGTACACCAAAAAGTCTATTTGGAACGCATTGAAATCACTTCCGGGGGGCCTTCGCCAAGGCATCCACCTAGATTTTCCTTCATTCGAGACAAGCAAAGCGAAACTGGAAAAGGGTATTGATCAGGCGTCTGTCATTATTGCTCTTCAATCAGACACACAGGTCTACGTCTATCCTGGCTGATTTGGAGTCTATGCAGAAATGGACAAATGCAAACTGTTGTCACTCGACGCGGGCGCATTCCTGCTGTTCCGCGGAGACTTGGTCCATGCAGGGGCTGAATTTGAAGAGGAAAATTTGAGGCTGCATTGTTACGTACGTGTACGTGGAATTCCACAGAAGGCCGACGCAACTGAAGCTGCTGAGAGCGACGACGAAAGTGAGGACGCAAGCGAAGAAGAAGTCGAGGAAGAGGAGGGTGGGGAGGTGGGAGAAGCAGAAAGCGCGGAGGAGAGCGAGTGGGAGAGTGAGGCGGAGAGTGCTCAGGACAGTGAATAACTAAATACACAATTTAATTTGTGTTTCTGTTTATTGTAAGCTAAATAAAAAACGATCCGTATTGTCAGAGTAAGCGATCCGTATTGTCAGAGTCAGCGATCCGTATTGTCAGAGTAAGCGATCCGTATTGTCAGAGTCAGCGATCCGTATTGTCAGAGTAAGGGATTTGTAATGCCAGACTTTCAAAGTAATATCTCTAGAGGCTTAGCGTACGTATTCGTTTCACGTAGCAACTGAATCTTATAGACTGCATTCGCAGGAAAACAATATGGTAATACTGGAACAAAGTGGACGTCAGCAGCAAGACCACAGTGAAGATCGGAGACATCAACGATATCTTTGTGGCTATCAAACCAACAGCTGAACGGCGGAAAATCGACATGAGGAGACGCGAGGGTAGATCCAACAGACTTCACTGCGTCCTTGTGCAAGACTAACCGGCTTAAGAGCACAATATATGCTTACTACATTTTAATGGGAATTAAATCCCACGCGAGGTCATCATCAGCCTTATCGGCTGTCCGTGTGTTCAACTCGCAAAGACACTATACGTAAAATAAGAAACATAGCAAGAAGAAGGCAATAAGGCGATGAAGTGATGGTATATTCAAGCAAGCATTCATTTCGTGTGTCTACAACAACGATAAAGCAGGACCGTTAAGGATCGGACGTCCACGTTTGGATGGTCTGCTTCGGCTGCTTCTGCGATCTGATCTTCTAAGGTTTTTCTTTTGTTGCGCCGGCTGCGGTTGAACAACTTCCTCTTGCCAGGTTGGTCAGTACCAAACCTTGTATAAAAGGCGAAGAGAAGATGTACACACTGGCCTCTGTGGAAAAAGTATTTACACGGGCAAGTGCGAGTAGTTAAATCCACTGACCATCCTTCCTCCGGCTGTTCATCTCTTTCCATTCTAGCCGCATTAGCACCAAGTTGCACATCCACATCCACAACTTCCATCGACTTCCTCGTCGGCTTCACGTAGATTCGAGGTGTAGCTTTAGAAACGACAAGTACAAAATTGCTGGAGCCGTCGAAGGATGGAGTCTCAACGAGCAGTTGCTGTCGGCGCAAAGCTGTCGCGCGCCGTCGAAGCCTGCTGCTAGCGGTAGATGTTTCATGGAATGCAGCACCCGACACGCTCTCCATTCGACAACAAACTTGAAGTTGACCAAGCAAAGACCCCATTAGCATTCGCTCTCGTAAAGTGTAGGTTTTCTTCAGCTTGGCATTGAACGTTTCCACGGGATTATTTGTAGTTACTTAACCAACAGGCGTACGGAAGCACTGCCATTTCACAAACTTTCCCGTCAGCCACTGCTGCAGAAAATACTCTCCAAATCGCTCGACATCTGGGTCGGCAAGCCACCGCCGCACTGCAGACGTCTTTTTAGCATGAAATTCCGAGGCGTTTCTTGCGTAATGCATATCAAATATATCGGTCAAAACCAGGCTACGCTTACCGGGTAGTAGATACCTCGTCCGCTCATGAACTTTTGCGATAACGTGGTAAAAGCACATCAAAATCTCTGTTTCACAATCCTCGAACACTGATGCCATCGCATTGTACTGGGCTCCGTCGGCGTCTCCAAGAATGTAGTGCACTACCATCGGCTTCCGCAAAAATCGAGCGTAGATAGCTCGGAGGGATGCAAGCACACTCGCGTAGTGACGCTCTTCTTGTTGTGACACGACGAACAAAGCAACCAAGTGAAAGGAACGAGAATGGTCAGAAATTCCACAGACAAAGGTAGGATTATCCACTTGGTTCAACTTGTAGGTCGCATCAAAATGCGAAATGAAACTGTGCGGATCACGGTCGAGTCGTTTTAGGAGTGTCCTCGTAGTGAAGCCGACAAAAAATGTGCTAGTGTCGGTTCCTTCACCAATATTGATGTCTCCATTACAATTCATGCTGCTCGAAAACGAAAACGCAGAGCTTTCTTCTTCTAGCCCAGTGTAGGCTTTTGCTCTGATAACTTCCTCCAGAATATCCAAGTCGTCCGTATTGTTCAATTCAGTCTTGCGGCAATACGTAACAAAACTTTGCACCTTGCTGAGATGCGGATTTTTTTCCGCAGAGGCACCAACAGCCAGCGCGTTTCGAATTCGAGCAGGTTGAAGACCGTTAACAGCTAGTTGGCGCGCCGTTTTCTTTTGTTCCAACGTCAGGCCACCAGTAGGAGGATCATTTCCTTTCACTTCGTGTAAACCAAACTCATAAATATTCACTATGCCGCTTTTGCAGCATACAAGCGTCTTGCATTTCCAACGACACCTTAAAGGTGCGACACACGCATCCGCACACGTAGCTGAAGAGCACGAGAAGACCCGGTATCGCATTGTGTGAGGTGATGGATCCGTACACACGGCACATATCGATGTGTTGCTGACAGTAACTTTGTGTTTCTTCGCGTGCTTCATGTTTTCCACAATACGCTCGCTTTCCACCTCCGACACCTGCCGATACAGCATAGCCCACGGGAGTGGCTTTCCCATTCGTTAAAGCGGTTGTGTCAGATACATTGTTAGCAATCAAGCAAACAAAATACAATAATTAGGTAGTTTTAGCGTCCGTACGGTAGGTAGAGGATTTCGTCTAGCTACTCACTATGGGCTTACGAGTGCTGCGCGTAGAGAGCAAGGGGAGTCAGGTGGCGTTGTCGGTGGCTGGTCTCGACGTTTCCTACCGCAGATTTTGATTGGATGCGTGTCGGCCAATCTCCGGAGATGTGTAATCGGTCACTGGTTGGCTAAAATTTAGTTTGTTTGATTACCTGACATTTGGTGGATTGATTGATCTTCTAGTGGATTTGTCAATTCAGCTATGGATTAGTATAGTGTGTTATTTACTGGGCTTACAGATCTGTGGATTAATACTATCTCTGCAGTTAGGGCTCATAGTACTGTGGACATTTTACGCGTCCTCTTAAAGATGCCTGCCTGCCTATGACACCTTCTGCCAATCCCAAGATAGGCGAATGCGTAGGTTTGAACGAGACACACCATCTAGAGCGTCTGGCTTTCTTCAAGTCGGAACGGAAGCCAGTCACGCGATTGTCGGCCGCTCGAGTGAATTAATCCGGTGATGCTGCTCTCTCTCGGTGAACCAAAGTGTCCGCGCCTCACCATTTCTGAAAAGATGACAAATAGCAACAGAGGGCCGATCGGACTTCCAATACGGCGCGTCCAGAGCCGCAATGCGCTCGCCATGTCAGCCATCCAGGAGGAGCGTTCGAGTCTTGATAACGCGCCAATGGCGCCCCCCGTTGTGGATTCGTGCTCCACATCTCCGACCACTTCGTCTTCGAGCTCCGACTCGAGTCCAAATCGGTCACGTCCTGTTGCAAACTCCAATAAACCTCCAACTGGCAAGGCAACTGCGCGGCCGAATAGGGCTTGCTCGGCACGGTCACGTTCCGTTGCCAAATTTGAGGAAGTCGAAGCAACTACTGCTATTGAAGCCACCGCTCCCTCCCAACAGCCTACTAGACCTCTGCGAGCTCAATCGGCTCGAACATGGACTCCCTCTTTCGCGGATATGCCGTCCATGCCTACCGTTAAAGGGATCACGTCTGCAGTGGCAAGGCAGATGAACTCGGTACGAACTCGTTCCATTCCTACTGTGGATGAAACCAATACGACATGCCCTCCGAAGAAGACGTTGAAGGCTCGTTCAATGCGGTCTCGCCCAATATCGTGTTTTGATGATTCCCTCTTGGACGAGCAAGCGAAGAAAGGAACAAAGGAGACGCCGGAGCAAAAACCCACCAAGATAGCCAAATCGTTTCGCTCGCGTCCGGTTCCTTGCTTTGATGACCGACTTGCATCCGGCCCCACACCAGAGACGAAAATGGGAGGTTGGAAGCCCCGTGCAGTCGGCACCAGACCAGCCTCAGGCCCGAAGCCACGAATGCCTCGATCGACCTCCTCCGCTCATTTATCATCATCACCTTCATCATCTGATGGATCGTCGGATGGTGCAAAGCTCTCTGTCCGACGACGTGACTCGATTCCTCCGCGTAAGCTGACACGCCCAAAATCGTCCTCTAACTTGACTGCAGCTGCAAATAAACCTGCAAAGAAGAGTCGAAGCCGTCGTCGATTCCCGTCGGAGGAGGAAATCTCCGCCAACCGTTCGCGGGCTTCATCAGACAGCGGTCGAGGACTGAAGGATGCGCTTACCGGTAAGCTCAGTGACGAAGATTTACGCCCAAGATCGTCGTCTGACTCGACGTCAAGCAAAAAGGCAATGAAATTTTCTTCTCGCCCACGTCACTTCGAAGGCAAGTTCCAGAATCGCCGAGGTCAGTCGCTCTTGTACTTTTCACTCTTTCCCCCGGAGAAGCTGGCGATGCGTGGAGTTATTCTCTATTTGCACGGCATGGGTGACCACTGTCGACGGAGTACAGAACTCTACGAGCGTTACTGCGAAGAAGGTTTTGGTGTGATTACCTACGACCTGGTGAATCACGGCGCAAGTGACTACGATCAGTACAACACGCGCGCGCACATCAGCAATTTCGATGATTTCGTCGACGACACGAACGACTTTGTCAAATTCGCCAAGATTAATATTTACAAGATTGCTCTTAGGTACTGGCGGAAGCACCACCACCCTCGTCACCCGCATGGAAGGGAAAAGAAGCGCGATACGCCACCCGAATTGCCACTGATTATCTCGGGCACGTCGTTCGGAGCTCTAATTGGCCTCCACACTGTGCTCTCAGGTCAGCACAAGTTCCACGCTGCTATGTGGGCGTCGGCTAGTATTGGAGTGACGTGGACTCCGGTGCTGTGGGCTCAGTGGAAGTTTGCCAAGCCGCTGGTTGCAGCGTTCCCGACGGCCAAAGTGATTCCTGCGATTCAGCACAACCTGCGAAGTCGAAACCCAGACTTTCTGGAGAAATACCAGGACGATCCTCTGACCAGCAGCGACATGATCACTCCTCGCAGTGGACACGAGTCACTCAACGCCATGATTCGACTCCAGCAGGACAAGAGAGTTTCAGACGAGGATTCTTCCTTTTGTACGGTCCCCATGTTGTTCCTTGCTGGATCTGACGATCGCATATCGGACCAGCAGGCTACGTTCAAATTCTTCCAACGAATGGGAAACTTGGACAAGTCTTTCAAAGTCTTTGATGGCTTGTACCACATGATCTACGAAGAACCTGAGAGGGAGGAAGTTCTCCAATATCTGGTGGAATGGTTGCACAAAAGATTTCCACTCGAGACGCGGCATCCAAACGATGTAGTCACGAAACTGGAGCCGTCCATCCGCAGCTACAACTACGTCAAGGCAGAACGCACTGAACTGTGAGTTAAGCATAAAACTCTTCATTACCAAGATAATAAATCAAATCGTCTACTTTTAACTTAAAAAGTATCGGAACAGCATCAAAACGCTAAAACGTGAGCAACGTGGTCTCCAAAAACTCGTAAAACGCGCTATCAGGGTCAGTGACGAGGTACTCTGCGGCGCCACACTCAGCAACAGTCCCATCTTGCATCACTAGAATCCTGTCGAAACCCAAAACCTGGTCGAGTCGATGTGTGATGAGGAAGATCGTCGAGTTCGCGAACTCCTTCCCAACGACTGTAAGAAGCTTCTTGTCACACTCTTGGTCCACCGACGAGAAAGCTTCATCTAAAATGAGAACCCGAGCAGGTTTCAAAAGTGATCGCGCCAGCACCAGCATCTGTCGCTCTCCCATGCTCCAGTTTTCTCCATTCTCCACCAGTCTCACGTCCAAATTCGTCACGATCACTCGGCTTGAAGACTCGCCAGTGTAGCCTCCTCCTTCGCTCACTTTGCCACTGTCAGTAACCGGTCCGGGGGTAACACAGAGGCCCGTCTTAGCAAGAACTCCCCACAACGCATCGTCATCAAACTCCTTGAACGGGTCCAAATATCGGCGAATACTGCACCGATAGAACAGCGGGGTTTGTGGAATGATACAGATCCGGCTACGAAGATCGCGCAACTGTAGGCGGCTAATGTCTACTCCATCGATAAGAATCCGACCATAAGGCAGGCTGTGCATTTGAAGCATTGCCATCGCCAGTGAACTCTTTCCAGATCCCGTTATCCCCACAACGCCAATCTTTTCACCACCAGCAACGGAGAACGTCACGTCTTTCAGTGCACAAGTTGACAAATCACTACCTTCTTGTGTCTTCTCGTACCGAAAAAATACGTGATCGAAAACGACAGCACCAGTCGTCGGCCATTGACGAGGAGCACTTAAGCGTCGTTGGACCCCGTTCTGCTCGACATGCTCTTCAGGCGGAATGTGCTGGAACTTCTTCAGGTTGGCAATGCTGAACATGTTCACCGAGCTGTTCAGAATCCCCACCGAGAACGAGACAAAGTCACGCTGTACACTGTAAATACAGTGAAGCATTAGACCCAGTGTGCTCGCTTGCAGCCCTCCATGCGCCAGAAGAAGCGCTAAGCAGAACAAAAAGACCGCGACGAGGAGGCTACAGCGAATGTACAGCCAATGTGTAAACACTTCCACAACGGTGGCGATTCTTGATCTATCGTCAACCATTTTACCGTGATGTAAGCAAACACGCTCGACTTGGTCAGCTCCAAACGAACGGATAATGGCAGCTCCATCCAGCGTTTCTGACACAAAATTCAGGTCTGCCGCTTCAAGTTCTGCTCTCAATGAGTACACCTGAGCAAAGAGGCACTTGTCCACCATTCCTAGGCACAAGTAGGCCGTCAGGGCCGTAAATATTGCGCCTGTAGTACCCAGTAGATAACACATTGTCCCTAAAGCAGCTGCAATGGACGCAGTACTTCGAAACATAAAAACCAACGGAAACGACATCAATCCATCAATTATCTGCATATCCGTCGAGTAACGCGCCAAAATTTCACCGATTGGAGTTTGATACAGCACCGACACGGGGGCACGCAGGAGTGACTGGGTCATGTCGCTGAAGATACTCTTGGCACGTCTTGAGAGCATGTAGAAGATCACAGCACAGCTAACAAGTAGAAGTACAAACGCTCCGGCACTCAGCAAACTGTCGCTTTCCACATATCAACGTACGTCCAGGTCATATTACTCCAGCACTGACCACAAGTTTTTTGCCACATCAACGAGACCGTATGCGACAAACAGAGCGCAAGCAATAAGAGAAGAATTCCGTCCTCGAGTCGGCCACCAAATCTCCTTTGCAACTCTATCCACCGTTCGTCGGGTCAGGTCACACTTAGGAATGGAGGATACTTTCAACGCCGTTCGACGGCGAGATAACCGTGTTCGAACCTCTTGAATCTGCTGGTCATCCATTGCAAACGAGGAATACTCTTCGTCCATTTTCTCCTTGTTGCGACCAGTGCGCCAAGGTGGAATATCCGCAAGCCGTCGTGCACGACGACTTGTTTTTCCTGTGTGTCCACCACGACACGTCTCGGATACAGCAGTTTCGTTGACGTACCACAAGCGATCAACGAAACCGGACTCTACGACTTCCGGGTTGTGAGTGGCAACGATAATTGTCTTGTAGCGTAATAACTCTAGAAAACACTTTCGGAACACGTCGCTTTGGACAATAGCGTCCGCACTGGCCAGGGGTCGATCTAACAGATAAATGTCTGCGTCAGAATACAGAGTTCGGGCAAGAGCGATGCGCGAGTTCTGCCCGCCAGAAAGGTTGATGCCTTTCGGTCCGATCATTGTGTCGTCTCCATCCGGGAGACTCTCGAGATCCTCCAACAAGCAACACGCATCCAACACGCGATAGTATTTGGCTTCATCGAAAGGATAACCAAAAAGCACTTTGTCTCGGATGCTAAGTGTCTGTAACCATGGCTGCTCCGAACAATATGCGACCTTGTAGTGTGGTGACAGATACACATTTCCCGTCACACACGCAACATCACCTAGAAAGTCAGTCAGCAGACTTGTCTTCCCAGCTCCAGCCTTTCCGTGAATCACTACAAGTTCCCCTGCATTCACGCGCAGGTTGACATTAGCCAGAACCGTAGTGGGAGCATGGTATCCCACTGACAACTCTACGTTTTCCATTACAGCCACCAACCACCCCATCAGTGTACGTCTTGGGCTCTGTCTCCACTGTCGTGTCGTTGGCGAATTTTTCGCAGTATCGGAGATAATGGTCAATCTTTCGCAGTCCAACCTGCCCATCGATGAGCACTCGAATCCCCATAATCAGACCGTGCAATTCCACTTGGACATGGTCGATCAAAATCAGAGCTGTGAACACTGTGGCAGGTGAGAAGAAGCCTGCACGAGCAGCTAGAGACGTGAAAATCGCCACTGATGCGAACGCTGGTGCCTCCAACACACAGCAACAGCGAAGAATTCGAAAGGCCGCCTCCCACAACTTCCTCTTTTCCTCTTTCCTCCTGGCTGACATTATCTTTGACAAGATCTTGTCTTCCCACGCGTACAGTTTAATGGACTGGATGCCTTTAAAACACTCATTCACTGCAGCCAGCGTCTTGGCTCGTTTCTTGGTGTACCATTGCAGCATTCGGGCCGAGAGCGCTGTCAGTACCGACAGGCCGATAATGATAACAGCCAGAGACGACAGAATTACAATCGCACTTGTCTGCAACGTACGGTGTAAGATGAAGAGCAGCACTGAGAGCTGCAGTGTGGACGTCCACATGTCGTGGAACCGGATGAGCAGCCAGCTCACTTGTACGAGGTTGGACGAGTAGAGTGTGGCGATGGCAGCGATGCTGGTGCTGGTGCCGTGACGGCCTTTGACCGGCCGTTGTACAGATTTAGCGAACACTAGAGCACGGATGGAGGCCACAACACGCAGCTGCGCCTTAAACATCCTAAAGCGCGCGTGGCGGTCGAAGAGCACAGCCAGCATAACGGATACGTGAATACCCACCAGCAGTAAGAGCAGCTCCAGCACGGATTTGTGCTCGCTTTCGGGGTCCATGGCGGCAGTCAGCAGCTTGAAGAGCATCACGGAAACACAACAGGCGCTAGTGGCAGAGCACAGCCCCAATCCGCCGCTACACACGATTGCGCGCCATTCAGTGCGCAAAATAGCGGTCATGAGTTGACCGGACGCGCTGTAGACGGCACGAAAGCGCCTCTCGGCCTGTTCCGCAGTGTTCTCTGAGTCGAGTTTCCAAAGATCTTGAAGGCGTAGGCGATGCCTTCCTCCAAGTGCTACAAGTGGCTCCACGAAGAGGAAACCGAGGCGCGACAGCCAGGAAGCCGAAGACTCATCCACAAGACACGCCCGGCTCTCTACCGAGACGTTGGCGGGGTTTTCGGGGGTTAAAGAGGTACGGCTCCACGCGCCAGAATGTGGCGAAGAATACGAGCGGCAGCGTACTCGACAGCGTGCGCCGGCACCAACGCTGTTACCGTCTGTGTCGAAGGGTCCATGCATGAATTGGGCAACTTTTTGTACAGTAGTAAAATAACAGCTATACATGTACAGTAATATTGTTACATTCACCGAAATTTGTTCAATTGCAGCTGGCTTTTAACCAATCAGAGGTGGCCTACGCCTGAGGAGCCTAGCAACACCGGCCCAGCGCAGCCCCCCCCCCCCACCACCCCCTCGCTGATAGCACACCTAACCAAGCCCAAGCTGCGCGAGGTCCCAGTCCTCGTTGAGTGATGGTCGCTCCTCGGTTGCTCCGAGTGGTGACCATGACGATATAGGAAGTAGTCGTAACAACGCTTAGTTGCAGGGACTGAAAGTCCAGCAGGAAAAAAATGCCGAGTGCTGCTGCTTGCCCCTGGCGGCGCAGATTGTCGAGTGGGCAGCAGCGTACGGAAAAACCCGGTAATATATTCGTAGGAGCTAGCAGTAGGATGGGGCTGGCGGCTTGCCAGCCAATGGTCCGTCGAAGTCCGGCATCTGGACGCGAGCATCGCGTCCTACACGGAGACACCTGAGCCTCAGGTTGGAGCTGGACGCAGTCCTGGCTCTTCCTCCACAGCTGACACTCCCACATGATCACCTTTTAGAGCTTACCACGATGTCCTTGGCGTCTTCTAACTGCGCTGCAGCACGACGCTTCATCCTTGGCAGCTCTCTTCCTCCTTCTTGTCCTTCGCATGCATAAACTGGTAGTAGTAGCTTGCATTCACGCACAGCGATGATGTTTGGCTCCCACTGAACGAGCTAAGCCTTGCTGAAGGTCGATGCGCGGCACCTTCATACCATCACGGCAATGTTCGAACTTGTCCTTCGGCAACGTCTTCGTCATCGCGTCGGTGGTCATGTCGTCGGTGCCAACATAGCGAATCCGTAGCTGCTCGTCCTCCACGAGATGGCGCACCAAGTGGATCTTGTTCATAATGTGCTTGCACTTGCTGTGCTTGCCAGTATTGGCAGTCAGATAGATGCACGACTTGTTATCGCCGAGAATCTCCGGAGTCGCAAACTCCCAGCGTAGTTCTTCACAGAGTCCAAGTAGCCACTGTAGATCTCTAGTATCTTCATTCATAACAATATACTCTGATCCGTACGAAACCACGTTACCATTGACGAACGTCACCAACCCGCTAACACTCTTTCGATCATCAGGGTCATTAGCGTAGTCAGCATCGGTGTAGCACGTCAGATTGACATCGTTCCCAGTAGCAATGTCCATTAAGCCGTACCACTCAGGTAGCGTAACACTCTCTTTCCCAAAGCGTAGTGTGTGTGGTCGAAGCGGGACAGGTACTTGATGAGATTACGCACAGCGTGCGCAATGTCCGGCCTTGAGGCTGAGACCAGATATTGTAGTGCACCAACGAGAACATGGCAGGGAGCGTGGAGTCATCCTTAGCGTCTTTGAACACCTCAGCGCGCAGCGCTTCCGGTGTTGCGATCGCATTGCAACCCTCCATGTGAAATCGCTTCAGCACCTCCGTAATATGCTACCGCTGGAAAAATACCGCATGTCGACGCTCGCTGTCGACCAGAATCTCCACGCCTAGTATATACTTGACCGGTCCGAGAGATGTGAGTTCATACTCCTCACTTAGCTGCTTAGCAACATCAGCGAAAAGGTCACTAGGGCCGAGGAGCAGTAGATCGTCGACGTACACCGTGAGCGACATGGTGACTTCTCCTCCCACTTTCCTGGCGTAGAGTTCGTAGTCAGAGTCGAGGCGCTCGAGTCCGATCTTCGTCAGGAACTTGTGTAATGTCTTGCTCCAAACGCGAGGCGCTTGCTTTAGCCCATAACGTAGCGCGTAGAGTCTTCCCCAAAACCTGAGGCTGCTCCGTGTAAACCTCCTCGTCGAGATCACCGTACAGGAACGCGGTCTTGACGTCGAACTGCAAGATGGCCCATCCGCGTTGCAACGCGTATACAATCATGCATCTGATCGTCTCAAACCTAACAACAGGTGCGTAGGTTTCACTGTTGTCGATGCTCATGCGTTGTAGAAACTCTCTGACCACTAGTCAAGCCTTGTATCGCTTGATCCGGCCCGTAGAGCATCTCTTGAGCGCGTAAATCCACTTGCACGAAATAACACGCTTGCCCTTGGCCTCCGTGTGGCGCACGAGTACCCAAGTTATGTGCTGCTGCTGTGAGTCCATCTCGATTTGGATCGCCGCTTTCCACTTCTTTGACCTTGCCGCATGCTTCTGACTAATGGGGTTCTGCACACCCTCGACGTGCTGCTTCGTCACATTCGTCACTACGTAGTCCTTGCGTCGAGCAGATGGCTGTCGCTTCCGCTTTGGTTGCGAGGCAGCTGCACTGTCGTCTGGCGACGACTTCTGTTTCGCGCGTGGCTCCCAGTTCTCGTCTTCGTGAGCGTCACGTCGACTGTCCTTGATCTTCAAGGCTCCCACTCGATCTGCACACGCTTTCGCCTTCTTCTTGCCCTTGGAGTTGTTCCGCTTGGAACCTCCCACTGAAACTGCTGGCTTCTTAGCGTCCTCGCTTGGCCGCTGCAGGTTACCACTTCGAGTCGCAGACTCGGCTTCAGCTTCAACACCTTGATCCTGGCTCTCACCAGCAGCGATCAGCTTCGCCATCTTCGCTCCTCGCTTTTCTACTAGCTCTACAGGCAGCTGAAGGTACGTAGACATCTTCGTCCGGATCGACACGAGCGGGGTCTCCGCAGGTAAGTCGTAGTCTCCGTAAGCGTAGGTGCTGGCAATAAGTTGCTCAATATACACATTGTTCACCGTGTACTTCTCATGTGCCTTCATGCTTCCATCTCTACACGTCGGCACTGATCCTGTGCGCAGGATCACTGGTAGCCCTTGGACTACTCGCTGTAGCCAAGTAGTAAGAACATCTGCGATCTTGTAGTGAGCTTCTCCTTTCTCTGCCGAGAGTCGTCAGGGATGTGCGCGTGCACCAAGCACCCCCACGTGCACAGCACGCTGAAGTCTGGCCCCTCTCCGTACAGGACCTCTGCAGCGGGGCTGCCGTAGCTTTAGCGTCAGAGGAAGACGTTCGACTCAAAGAGTCACTAATACTAAGTTCCTTATCCAAAGGACACTTACAGCCCAAGACCAGGGCTCATAGTCAATACCTTAACTTTTATGCTTCAAAACCAGAAGTGTTTTATTTACTATTATTGCGGCCAAGCCACCTAGGAGTAAATGTATCTGTTTAAGTATCTAGCATCGTTAAACCTAATCAAATGCATAACGTGTGGCTTTCAGCCAACGTACTGAGAGACCTTGTTAAATCTCCAACTTATGTACTGAGAGTTTGTTAACTCTCCGGGTACTTCGTACCCCTGTGTGTTCCACACCATGTAACCCCGTTACACTCTCCCCCACTAAGATGAGAACATTCCGTTCTCGAAACTTTCCTCAGTAAGGCCACGTCTTGTTAAGACGGCGGCGGTTACTACACCTCACACCAGCGTTGTACAGCTCCGTGAGCTCACAAACGCCTACGCATCGTTGATGCCCAACTTCTCGTCGTCGGCCCACGGCCCAATGTTCCAAGCGCAGTGCGCATCTTGCTCAAGCGGTCTCAGACCTACGCTCGCGCTCCGCGCCTACTCCAAGAGTTGCAAACCGCTTAGAGCTATGCTCTTGAGTCGTCGACAACAGCTCAACGGTTGAACACTCGCTTCACAAGCGATAGGTCGGTGGTTCGATCCCACCAGGGCGTCGCTCTCTCGTTCCATGAAAGATTGTCCACGCTTGGACAAGCTTAAGGGCAACACCCTTTTAGCTCAATGGTTGAGCGTTGGCTTTGAGAGCCACAGGTCGGTGGTTCAAACCCACCAGGACACAGCCCTCTTGTTCCATGAACTGTTGTCCTTGAATGGACAAGCTTAAGGGCAACACCCTTTCAGCTCAGTGGTCGAGCATTGGCTTTGGAAGCCACAGGTCGGTGGTTTAAATCCACCCGGGCTCAGCCCTCTCATACCATGAGTAGTCCGTTCTCGGACTGACGTACGGGCATCGCCCTTATAGCTCAATGGTAGAGCTCCGGCCTGGCAACCCAAAGACCAGTGGTTCGATCCCCGTCCGGGACACCACTTTCGCTGTTACAGCGCATCCACATTTGGATCATGCTCATCGAGCAAGTTGTTTCAAAACAACTATGCGTCTATCGAGACGCTTGTGCCTGAGCCTTGTTCTGCACAACACGAAGCACCTGCTTCCTTCGGGACCATGTCCCTAGCACCACGAGGCCTCTCCACCTCCTGCTCCCGCTGCGAGCACCGCTCATACGTACGAGCTGGCTGCTGCAGCCACTGGTCAGAGCCTGAGCTCAACTACTGACCTGATCGCTCCCCACTCTAGTGGGAGGCGCCCAGCGCCTGGCGACGCTGTCGCACGCCATGGTGGCGCTTCGGCACATGATGTGCCCGGTCGTAAGCGTCAACGACGTCAGGGCAATCTTGCCGGAGGATAGCCTCAAACTCCCATGAGTTCTGTGAGTGAGGGTAACCCCTCCACTTCACCAAGTACTGGGTACGACCCTGGCGTCTACGCTATACCACAAGGCGTTCCACGTGAAAGTGGAGCTCACCATGCTCATCGAGCTGAGCAGGAGGAGGCCTTGCCTCAGCTGGGCTCTCGCGGGGAGAGTCAGCACTTGCCGGAACGGCGTCTGCGTCCATACGACGCCGGCGTCCACAACGCGAACGTTCACGTTCACCGCCCATCGGTCGATCTCGAAGAGATGATCCACCTTGTGGATAGGTTAGAGCCACCACTGTTGACTCACAACCAGGTCTCGGACCTTGAGCGTTCAGTCGCTCGGCTGAACGTTCAGCTTGCCTTGCTCCTGCATCTCGAGCACTTCGCTCCGCGACCTGTGGCTCTGCCACATGCTGTTGATCAGCCATCTGTGGATCCACCACTTGCTGTCGTTTAGCCTCCCGTGGATCTACCACCTGCTGCCATGTAGTTGTCCGTGGCCCAGCCACTGCTGGTGCCAACGCCTCCGTGCTCACCTG